AAAGCCCCGTCCAGCCCCCTACCTCCGCGATGTGCCCAACCAACACAAGAGACAGACGAGCCTCGCGTGTGCGTAACGAGTTCCACCCACGATTCCGCACTATCTCGCATGGCGTTATTTAACCAAAATTCAAGCGATAAAATGTCAGCCAACCCTCCTCGCCCACCTACCACGCGCAACGGGCCTACCAAACGCGCAGGAGCTATTCGGCCAACTGTATCCCAATGCAATCGCATTATACCCGAAGCGTTGTTAAAACGATTATTGCTACAGGCTGTATAAAAACCAGCGTTATACTCGATTACAATGTAACCGCCATTCGCAGCGATTTCCATTTGCCCATTTAAATTACAGCGCGATTATTTTAAAGGCTTACCAGGGATTACAAGAGTCCGATGTGGGTGCATTACCCCTCCGAACCCATTATGCATTACTAAAAGCAGCCTATCGTTAAGCGCCATCACACCCTATATCCCGTATATACATCGTGTGCACGCATTTCTCGTACGATCTGTGTCCGATGATCGGCAACTGTAACTGTGTGTTTTTAAACGAAAAATTCAGGGAGATGAAAGTACATATTTTTTTTTTCATATTCCCTTTTCTCAAGGTTACCAGTAACCCAACGATGAACTTGTGAATCTGCAATGACGTCATCATTCTTTATCATACAAGAATCGGCCCGGGTCATTCGTCTGTACTAATGTTTTCATTCGCGCTAATTACATACGATAACGATATACTGACAATATAACACTAGTATAATTGCGTTAATAATTCAAGTAAAAAAAAAAATAAAATTCCCTATACATATATTTATATACAATAGACTCCCGCTAAGTGCCTGCTTCGCCACCGATTACTCGCTTATCCTTGTATATCGGTGTATTCGTATTATCCCCACTATCATCCACTATCATCTTACGTGGAAGGACCGTTTGTTGGGAAACAAGGAAGGACAATGAATTCCGATAAATATTTGTCGAAGACTGGGAAAGGAGGGCACCCGTGCGTTCGTTTTCTCCGAATCGTCTTCCCCTGCCCCGTACACTTAAACGAGAGTAAACTGTAATGACAAGATTGAACCATATTTGTCTTCCTTCCGTGAATGCTGAAATCCATAAGGGAGGCTACTTCTCTAATTATAGGCGAGTATCGCCATTCGCAGGTGACGATCCCCCAGTGTTACAAGGATGAATGGGTGGGTATAGGGATGGACATACAAGGATGCCCAAACAAGAGCAGGAAGTCGAGTGTATATTCCCGATGCTGCGGTTCAATATCTTGGTTGATAAATTCGCGGGTAGTGGTTAATACGATGCTCCTAATCGAGAAGCGGTCAGCGATCCGTACGGATAGGCATAGCGGCTGCCATGATGTGATCGAATGCATTGCGTGGGTTTGGGAAGAGCCGGGATTCGATTGGGATACCACGGACCATATATCTATGGAAGGAGAGAAGGTAAGTGAGGACGGGATGGAGGGTGGGAGATAGGGGGTGGATTGTATTGGGTTTGGGAATCCGACGTATACCGGATGGCTGGATGGGATTACGCAACGCAGTGCTCTCTGATTGGCTCTAATCGCCGGCACTGCAAATGGCTCGACGTCGTTACGGTCAGCTTGAACGGGTCCATTGTTATGCGAACACAATGCATAATGCGCAAGGTATCAACGTATGGGAGTCACTGCGGTAGAAATTCAGCGTCTTGGAAGAGAAGATATCGAAGCGATATTATTGACGGATCGATTAAAAAAATTATTTACGTCATTTCGTTCATTGTGGTTAAAGGGATAAGCCAACAATCCTATTGGTTTTTCATAGACGGACAAGAAATTTACAAAACAATCTTTCGCCAGATTCCTTGATCTTTATATAGATTTTGAGTCGCCTATCTTGTTCCACTTGGCAATTACTTATCTACCTGTCTTCTACAACTTTTTATTCCTCCCCCCCGGTGACTCTGGTAATACGTGCTTAGGAAATTACGCTTTTCACTGGCTGTACTGTTTCCTTGCTTCTTTACAATATTTTCATTTTTTTTTGCCGGCAAATCATTTCAAGTACACTCGTACGTATCGAGACAATAGGATCTATTGTTATCGCAGAACTTCTCTTGCACAATTCTCATTATCGTTACATCCGTATTGAATATCTTCAAGAGCTTTTTGCTTCCTTTGACGTCGAGATGCAGATACAAAGAAAAGGTAAAAAGCTACAAGCTACGAATCGGCTGCACTCGTTACCGTGTAAGGAGCCACCCCGTCGTCCAATTGCAATGCAGTACGAGTAGGTATTTACGGGGGAGATTTTTCAATTAAAAAAAAAAAGTTCGGTCCAGGAAAACTTGTTTGTACACAATAGCAATAGGACATAGAAAAAAAAAAAAAAAAAAAAAAAAAATACAAACATGTTATTAATTAACCAGTCGTTTTTTTGTCGTTACTCGATATGACCACATACCTGACGAGTAATCTATAAGAATTCTGATTTGCTCGGAATAGGAAAGAAAAATGATAAAAAAAGAAAAAACAGGCAAAATAATACTCGTATGCACAGGTGAGACAAGCGAGTGGCATTTAGGTCGAGGCAACCTGTACAGGCGCAAATTGGGGACTAATTAAGCAGTGCCACCAGTATTTGTAATGTTATATAAAATGGAACTCGCGGTCGTTGCCAAGCGAGCGTGTGGACCGACGTACGAACAAACGCGCGGTGGACGTGTCGTAACGATCATTGGATCAAGATAATCAAATAAAGAGAGCGCGATAATCAACGAGTCCCGAATTAAAGCTAACTTAACCGAATGAAGCTACACGCTGGTTATTCGACTGGCGACCTGGTAAGCTTTGGTCTTCTCTGATTCTAGGAGCTGACGCTACGTACCGATGACCATTGCGCGAGGCCAGATGAAGTGGCGTGTGTGGAAAGATCAACGAGGACGAAGAACTGCGCAGAGAGGCGATCAGCTCCGGATGTGTACGCACCAGAAGTTCAACGGTCTCCAATCTGTAAAAAAGAAGAAAAAGTCACGATATTAAATAATGGGCAGACTTGCTTTTCTTAAATTTAAAATTCCTTCTACGTAGTTACCCCTGTCGCTTATAGACTGAGTTATTACTTTACTTTTACGTATTTGTCCTCGCAAACGGCATTTTACGACGTTTGTGACGTTTCATTTATCATCATCCTTATATTCATTAAATGCCAATTGGATAGTTCACAGGCAGCTCTCAAAAGTAACAGCAACCACGCACAGTGACAGCCGAAAGCAAAAAGGCGTTATGCCTGGTGAGCACAAATTACAATAAAGAAATATTGTGAATATTCGTAAATCAAAAATGTTAATTAGGACACTCAACAGTGCACGGTTACGTTGAAACGAAGTATCTAATTTCTTACTTGCAGTCTGTTTTTACATTTTACCAATTTTCTCGGGCAGAACGACTTGATACATTTTTTGGTTTCATATTTACGTTACCGGAGCAAACAAAATATGGTACAGTATAACGTTATCACGCCTACGTTAATAACAGTCAGCCGTAACGCTAATTTCTTTCTATTGCTCCATAATGTATACTGCGACAGGGTCGCATTTTCACTTTACGATATTGCCAATGATACAAGCCAGGATGATTTAATTTCCGCCATTTAATTATTTACGCGTTATTCCGTGCCATCGACTTCGCACCGGAGCGGCAGCACACTTATTTATTTGCCCTCGTAGCAGAGCGCAAATACTCGACGGTCACTCTGTGTTTGCGTTCGGACATTTTTGATCCCCCTAACGCTCTTGTCCCGTAACAAATTACAGTATCGCATAAGCATCGAATCGCTGTGCAGCTTCAGCGTATCGAAATCTTTATTAAAAAATATTCAAATTTTAAAACGGAGCTACCACCAATACAGTATTATTATTATTATTATTTATATTTAGCTACCAAATTATTGGACCGACGTGAAAGGTTCAATGGGATCAATTTAGGTACATAATTTCTATTTAATGTTTTGCAAAATATATATATATATGTACATTAAAAAATCACACGACACTCATCAGTTTTTTTTTCGTTTTCAGAATTAAAACTTGACACTGTTCAACGTTTGCAATGTAAAATGAATAAAAAATCAGTATAGATCGGTATCAATGATTTTCGCAGACCAGAATAAATGTGTTAATAGTCGCTCGATATGTTTGATAATATAAAAATGCATGCACGTAACAGTAAGATGTACTAAAACATTCAAGAGAATGTCGTCACTTGATAATAACTCGCCAACAAGACTGTGTGCAATATTCGGATAATTCAAATTGTGATAGTAACCGATAGAAGAGCTCGGCCATTGACGTGAAACAACTTTCAAAATAAATGATAATTTATTATGTAACAATATTCATTTGTAAAACGTGAAGTTACGTCATTATCATTTTACATTTGCAAGAATTCTCTATGAACGTATACAAATCTCATTATTTTGTACGTTCTTCAAGTATGCTTTTGCCACTTAAATGAAAGATTTACGTAAAAGGGACAACTAATGAACAATAGAAAAATTTGTTAATTAAACATTTCGAAAAATGTGGAACGCTGATACAACTTTGAAATCTTTCCGCATCGTTTTCAATAAGTACTAATTAATTAATGAGTCTTTAATATAGTCTCTCATATGTGTTTTTTGACAGTTTGCAGACGATGTAATCCTTAGTAAATTACACGTGGCTTTCCATAAAGTCACGTAAATATATATTATAATATAAAAATAAAATACACTTCTGTTTAAAGCAATGCAGATGCATATTGTGTATAAAAATTGTATGCAGACCATATGTGGCTTGCTTACTGCTTGTTGAATTACATTGTTATCGATCTGCCAGAAAGACACGTGAAACTCGTGGATCGGCTATAAATCAGTCACATAAGGATATTGAAGTGACAGTCTACTGATACGATGCCCCTAAAGCAAAACCCTGCAGTATTTTTAAATAAAACTAATAAAATATTAATAAATTCAAATATATATTTACTATATAACATATAGTACATTAATTCATAATTTCAATGTCACAACAAGAAAACGCTTTTAACATTACCAAGTACGTATAAACATTTTTTTAACAAAAAACCAATATAATTCTAATTTATAAAACTACACATGAGACCAACTATATAGAAATTTATATTCATATATAATTCATATAAAAAGAATAAAAGTTCCGTTTCTACAGTACGAAGAACACTCACGACTGTAACATATTAACATTTATTCCCTTTTTCCATCGTAATACATTCCTCGTGCCATTAACTAATTGTATACACATTATACATGACGCGAAAAGCATATATACAAATTATACAGAAATTCTGCGAGTAACGTTTCCATAATAGTAACGCTATACGGATATCGATAAAACATAAAATAAAAGAATGCACATGATTTAATAAATAAAGAGTAATATAATATCAAGACGGATTATGAAAATAAGTTTGCATTAAAAAATATATCATTCTCAGTGATAATTGAGCTCATGCATAAGTGAAAAGATTAATAATTTTGCAAACTTATCGAAGAACTGTCATGCTGTGGACATAATCGAGATGCGTTCCTTTTAATTTGCAAAATTGTAACAGCCATTTACCTGCCATATTGCGCAGCGAGGTCCAGGGCAGATTCTCCACGGCTGTTGCGGATGCTGGGGTCGCATCCGTACTGCAGCAGCTGTGCCACGACTTCCGTGTGTCCATATTGTGAAGCGCAATGCAACGCCGTCTCGTTATCTTTTGTCTGAAATTATGATTATTCGCAATCACTTATATATCGAACCAATTTGCCGTTCAATATCTATTTCAAAGGAATAAAGCCAAATGCCGTGCCTAATGCTGCGTAAGATTTCATTTATTGTATTCGCTTCAGATAAAATAGGAACCTCGTTATATACCTAATATTAAATAATTTGAAGTAATCAGATCCATCCTGCATGTTCATCAGGAGCACAAAAACAAATGGAAAGTCGATGGAAAATTAACGATATTTTTAGAGATTAACTTGACAAATTTATTCGTCAAACACAGACAACTCAGTTACGCGATTCATTAAAATTCGTTTTTTCTTCTTTTTTCGACAAATACGAAATACCAACGATTTATATTGATCAGCGAGAGGATAACACTCTGGAAAATTGTATTATACACATACTGACTTTAGTCAATTAGTGCCACTGTTAATGAAAAATTTATTGTTTAAATATTCTATATTATAATGGCAACCATTGTATTTCAAATAATCTGGAATACATGCGAAACTTAGAGGAAAGAATATTTATAAACAAGTTGGCAATATGTATGAATAAGAGAAAAACATTGTATACTGATATTTATGGGGGGGAAAAAAATCAGTAAATCAAAGCAAACGAAAAATTATAGAAGTGAATACCCAAAGTAGTACATGTCCAATATATTTATGTTCAAAAAATGAAATATGTTTTATGATCAAACTTGATTTAAAAGAATACCGTGCAAAAGGGCAATAAAGATTATTCAAATTGTTGCTGTTACCAGCTGATATTATATGTGTTAGAAAAAGACACAATATGCGACATGAACATGTAATGGCAGGTAATAAAAATACACAATTTTCAGGTGTATCATTAATAACCAGACATTACTGTATTAAATTAATAACTTTTATTGACTACGAACACGAATTAATGTTATCCATTTAAATTTTTTAACATATTGCATTATTTTTCTTAACAGTGGTTCGATACCGTAATCGTAATTCTCTTCGTACTCTACCTTAATATCCATATTTCTATTGCACGTGATTTAATAAAATTTGATTTCAAATATTCTAAATTCTATCATTTCCCAATTTTGCTAATTATCTCACCATAATACATTTACCTTTGTCTAAATACTTTTTCAAATGTTAGGTTAAACGACAAACTAAATATATACATTTCCATTCATAGAAAAACAATATTCCATTGGTACCCTCATGGTTTTGAAAGCCCTATTGAAAAAGTCAACGTATTAGCAAAACAAACCTACATCACACGAATATACATATATTAGAAAAGAATATTACCACGTCACGTGGAGTGGCGCTAACATTGCGTAAACAAATGTCTAAAACGCAAATTTCATATAAACGTGATAACATTACCATAAGTACCAGACAAAATTTGCGGATTTGAAAATTCAACAATAGCCTCTCCGAAGATAAAGGATTCTACACGCCCACTGTTTGGCCGAGGGATCGTACGAAAACTCAAATTTCAATATTTCTTTGGCGCTTACAAACACGTGCACAGCACAATCCACCCGATCTTGTTCGATGCTGGCATTCACCGCCAGGTATCGCACAAGATTCTTTCCCTGGTAATCGACATAACAAGCAAAACCTACAGTAAGTTACTTAGAGTTTTTGCAGACTTCTGACGGAGTGCGCCACTTCAATATTCTTGCTCTCTAATATAAAATTTAAAAAAATATAAAATTCGTAGGACACTGACGATCATGAAATTCCTACTTATTGAGTTAGACCATGACAAATCCCTGTACTCAAATCCCTACGCTTTTCAACCGAAGGTTTGGATTAATTAAACGTCCCCTTTTAATACAAGCACAAATTAAAAGAAACTTCTTCAATAACTCGGTACCGACTATTTCTTAACATCTGCTTCGTCACAAGATGCTTACTACATAAAACAAAATGATATCCATTACATTTAATATTTTTTGATATTCATTATTCCAAACACCTATTTCGGTTATTCTCAAAAAAAAAAAAAACTTAAAAAAACTTAAAAATTCAAATTTTGTACAAATCCATTCGTTCAACCTGCTTCCACCATGTTGATAATAAAATCCATACGTGATATGAAATCTGACAAGAGACAACGGGGTTGTAACTAACAATCGTTCATTGATTACAAAATATTCAATCCACGTGTACACGTGCATAAAGACAGTTTGTTATTGACAATGTACACTCAGGATACCGACCCCCCCTGTCGCCCCCTAGCCTAGCGTTGCAATACCGTAACAATACTTTATCTCTTATTTCACATAATAATCATTTTGCTAAAAGCGTATCGATCGTTCCGCTGATCAGTTATCACATATTCCGATAAATCAATATCCCACCACGTCTATAATTGTAATACTATAACGGTGTATTAACTCCTTAATAAGAAGGAGTGCGAAACAGTTCGATGAAAACTACACTTGACTTACCGCAAGATTAACGTTGGGCACAGAGGGTCCCTGACACAGGATCAATCGCACAATTTCTGCATCTCCCGCCCAGGCTGCCAGATGAAGCGGCGAGGAGCCTTTCGCATCGACGACATTGGTCGACGCTTCATATTGCAGCAGCAATTTCACTACGTCCCTGCAATAGATCGTTTGTTAACATTAACACTTTGATCTTCCCTGCGCGACGTGGATATCATGGCAATTGAATGGACTGACAGGGGAGAACATCGTGCAGTCACGAGTTTCAGTAATTAGCCACTGGAAACTACATCAACTATCGACGAACTGAGTGATTCGAGAAAATTGACAAAAACAATGTCGGCCACGAGGTCCGTTCAAGAGAAAATACGTAAATGTCGATACCCACGTGATTCGATAAATTTTGATGAAATGACGTAATGCGTGAAAAAATAAAATTATAATATAATTAACATTGATCAAAAAATGATGCCAGCGATCATCCATAGACATATATACATTATAAATGTCAAAAATATTTTTTATTAATAAAAATCCACGAATTTCTCGATATCCCATTTATATTTAATTTTCACATTCTATTTTCAAAAAAACCGTATCCGTAACCGGGAGACTACCTACTACTGTCATATAGACTGTTTGTGCAAGAAAAATTACACAGTCGGTCAAGGGTCAGTAGCAGGCTATACGTATCACAAATTAATTATAAATCCACATTTCGTTACGTCCCGAGTGCATACCTATGTCCATTAAGAGCTGCATGATGAAGTGCCGAGTATCCGCTTGCATCTTGAACATTCGCCCCTGGTCCACGGCGTAAACTGTAAAACAAGAAAATCATCCGTTTCACATAATCAGTCGAGGGTATTCATTGCATCGTTCACGTATTTCAATCAGGAATGCTGGAGAAGGAAAGCGACCCAACCCCTAAATCCACTCGCAACTTGTTGAATAATCAATGCAAGACAAACTTGCACGCCGTTGATAAACAACAATATTGACGTACCAACATTTTTCAGAAAAGACAAACCACAATTTCAAACAATCAACAATAATACCTGTACTAAAAGAAATTCTCAAGCACATAAATTCGTCTCGTTAATTCAACCTCGTATTAATACCCAAGTCATTAAGTCACAATGAGTATCACTGTATTCGCAAGAAAATAATTCATGTTGACTCATGCTAACTAATCTAGGGATCACTGCGGGCGTATCGGAGCACCGTAACTTTACGAAGACACAAGGAAGAAAAGAAAAAAATGAGATACCAGATAACACAAGCGTACGTGCACAATGCAACATGGACCAGTAGACCTAAGCTGCTCTTCGCAATGAATAATCTCACAGCAAGAACAAGTTTATTAATGACGTTTTCTACGTCCGACACATGTTCTCATTACGTATCATTGTTGCATTGTTGGTTTGTTACGCGCCGCGCAAGCAGATAATAATCACCCCATAAGCATTACACGTTCCCATAGGAGTCATGGGCGTAACCTCTGTTTGCTCCTAGCTACTGACCCCTTTCGCAACAATAATAATTCGAATAACAAGTGAAACTAAGGCAGAACCCTCCGCGACTTATATTTGACGGAATCCTGTTAAACGGCTTAGTGCATATATATACAGTTACGTGTAACATCAATTTGATTAGTCATATCGTATGAGTTTATTAGTTATAACCTGACACTCGATCGGGACTAACGTCAGGGTGCGAGGGTGGCTCGAATGGCCAATGGCACGAAGCACGAATGATATTTGACCCCCCGAAGGAAGGTTAGTGACGGCAAACTAATGGCGATAACTTCATATGGCTAAATGCCGACGGAAAGAAGTGTTTACAGTCCACTCGGGACTTCGCCACGTGACGATATCGTTAGTTTGGCAGTATCGACATATTTATTTGCCAACTTTTCTCATAATTTTCGCCCAGAGATTCACTCTCGTGTAAATATTAATCTGCGCGTGAAATTTCGTCCTTTACAATAGTTCGGGCTTGTGTATTAGATCTTCATATCTATAGAGATTTCTGGTATGACAATAAAAAAAAAAAAAAAAAATTTCTCACCTTCAGTTTTTTTCTTTTTCGCTACCGAACGTAGCCCGCAAGAATAATACGTAAGACAGTGATATTAAAACGAAGTACCGTGCTCTCTTTATGTCTGAAAAGGTAAATGCACGTAAGAGGTGGAATTAAAAAAAAAACCGCGTATGAAAGAGGCACATTGAAACACACCCTTAAGAGAATACTCGACTATCCCTTTACGAAAGCTCCTAAGAACCGTGACTATTGAAAAGTATCCGACGACGAGTAAAGCGGCGGAAGCCGAAAGCAAGGTTAAATAACGTAGGACGATCGATACAGTTGGCCACACAGCCACTCTAAGCGATCTTCAGATTAAAGATGCACCGACCGAGCATGCGAGTGGAGCGATCGCTACCACGCGGATACGTACGCGTATACGTGTACGTATGCCAGCTCATAAATTCATAGCGCATCAATGCGTCTAATTACGAATGGATCCGCGGCGCAGGTTTCGAGAAGCTGCGGCACGGGCAACCAAGAGATCAGTTAAAGTCCGGACGGCACCTTGTGATCTATTGTAGCCAAGATCAAAACGAACGGGAGTAGAGACCAAGTGAATGCAAAAGTTCGAGGAGTTTTCACAGGGACAAAAACCGAAAAGGAGAGAAAACGACGTGAGCACGTGCTTCTGTGCCGTTTGAGTGGAGACCTCTGTGCGTGTTTGTTTTCTGTGCCCTCGCCCTAACAACCAGGGGTCGTGACTCTTAAAGCCAACTACACAGCCCTTCTGGAACTCTGACGTCGTGTGCACTACATCCCCACTGGCGAGGGTGGCCGCGCGCCCGCGCACCCCCCCACAACGGGGACGTTTGGCTGTCCTATTCATCGCATCCATCCACTCGCTAAGTTCCTTAATTAAGCTCTGAAGATTGTCTACAAAAAGGACATCGCTATCCATGGGCTCGACTGCGTCTTCTGAACATTATAAATGACGAGGGGAGCTCGGCCATGCTGCTCGCTCGCTGGAGGCTAGTAACGTTTACGAGCCGCTATACGTTTCTTGCGACTAGTTAATTAAGTACTGGACGCGAGTGGCGACTGAGAGGGCAAAAAGTATATTTGCTGAATGTCGTCGAGCCGAACCACAAGGTGCGAAATGCGACGTTGGACATGTGCGTTATTAGAAAATTATATATGTGATATTACGAATACAGTTCAATCGTTGGATCGTTTCTAACGTAATCCGTATAGTCTATCGCAATTTTATTAGGCTGCGTTCACAGCGCGGCGAGTTCATGTACGATTTCAGCTGATGCGCAGGTTCGGATGAACAGAGACGAATAATGAAAATTTTGTATAAGAGCTCAACCGTGTGACGTATCGTTACTATAGTTATACTGCTGATTCGTACGATGACCGTACAAATATTTGTAATCGAGTTAATGAAAAATATAGTATGAATATTTTACGTAAATTTAAATTTTTTTTTCGGATTTTGACATGCTTATGCGTATAGTGTGTGTTACTTTCATTTGACAAAACTTCGTTCAATGACAGGTACGCAATTGACTTTTCGTTATTAAGAATTATATCCGTATTACGTAGAAAGAGGAATTTTTCGAAAACATTCGCGCTGAAATATAAAATCAAATTTGATTGATACGTGTAATTCGAAAATGTTTAATGTGCAAAAACTTGTACATTAAAATCGAATGTCGTTAATACGTTATTTCAAAAGTGGGGTAGAATATTCATTAACTGAAAATGCTTTAGTCAGTTCGATAATGATTTATAAAGTTCATTATTCCTCCGCCTGCTTAGGTTCTGTACCGTGTACTCAAAAAGTTTATTTACGCTGCCACGTCATAATTAAAATTACTCATTTCATAATTCACGTTATACCCCAACCATGGTAGAACCTGAGCGACTTAACTTTTTGCAAATTTCACATTTTTCTCACTTTTCATTGATTTCTCACTAATCATCCACTCGGATACTGAAACTTCGAAATTTACAAAAGGCCAACTTGTACAGTTTGACGTCTGCGAGGTTCAAACGTTTTAGTGTACCAATATATAATATATGAGCATGTAAAAATGCTGTGTTGAAAATAGTGATTGACAATGACCCATTGTGCAATTATCTACTACAAAAAACATTCTATTAACAAACAAAAAAAATATCAACGATTATCAAGTGACATGAGCGAGGAATTTATTATGCAAAAAAAATGACGTGGGTTTTGGAGCAAAGGCGTTAATCATAAAAGTATAAAATAGTTGAAATTGAAAATGTACGCACGAATGTAATAACATTCAAAGTTCACGATAAGTAATCAGACACTTCATCGACAGTAAGAAAGACAACAGTTTCAAGCGAACAAGTAGTTTCCGCCACTTGCAAAAAATATTATGTATCAATATAAAAATACATTTCCTCTTGTTACACGTAAACGTTGATAGCCAATAACCTCTTTAAATATTTCATCGTACCTCGGCAACCCTATTTCATATTTGCTCACTGCCATCACCTATCTATCAACTTGACATCCCGTTCGCTTACCAATCTTAAGTCAACCCTAAGAATAAACTTTATTTCAAGACTGATAGCCAACGCACAACAAATCCAAAACTACGATAAATATATATAAGCTCTGACTCGGAGCTCCGAAATATTTGTATTACCTAAAATTGTAACATGTACAAATAATAAAAAAAAATTTCTATAAAAAAAAAAGAAAAAAAAAGTAATTATCGTGTTTTGCCCGATTCGAATCATTTAATTAAGAGCACAGCCAGTGCGTGGATTAACATCGCCAACATCCACACCGATAAATTACACTGAACCGGCACAAAGTGATTCGGCAGCGGCTTTTAACCCTCGGTACAATTCGAGTGGCTCGCATTTCTCGGATCTTGCGGTACAGAGTAATAAAAAATAAATATCACGGAACAAACTCGATAGTAAAAGCACTCGCGGAATTGTTCGCAGATTCGCTTTAACGTTACAGAGATATATATATATATGTATATACAGATACACGTTTGTATACGTAGGATCATGTGATATGACGATACGAGAGGCAATTTGTTAGAAGAGCGCGTTTGTCACGATGCATTTAGGATCCCCGACCACAGGATTAACAGCCCCAGCCGGTTTTGCCGTCTGCGAGCGTCTCTTTTGTCAGTGCGTGTGCCGCTACCGTTCGATGCACGTACGCAGCTACGATCCCAAAGCAATTATGTGCGCACAGCCACTTGAAATCAGAAAGTAGAGCGAGGCGCTATAATAGCGCCACGCGTAAATCTACTGAACTTGGAAAGCAATGTTGAGTGCAGAATAACGGATGGAAATTTCAAATGAACATTTAAAAATCTCGAGTTCAGCGACATGTAACAGTTACTTGTACATGGGTGATTTTTGTGGTTCGTACGGAATACGTAATGGCATTTCTAGATTAATTTAGATTCTATTAGCTTAGCTAAGTCTAATAATCTGATCCTAATCTAAATCTACTTTATGTCTTCGTCAAATAGAATTATGATGGGAGACGCTAAGCGAACTAATGGAATAAAATGTTATGCAATTTCCTTAGAAATTTAGTGACAGGTAAATTAACTGATTTGCAACATGTTATCTTGATGTTTTTTTTTTTTTCTATTATTTTCGTATTTCCCATGTTCAGTAATTGGATTAATTAAGAGAATGGAGGTATGATGAATTTATGTTAAATTTTTCTTCTCGGACAGTTAAGTGCTGATGTAAGATATGTGCTGCTTCAACGTAGCAGTTTCAATTATTCGCAAAGAACTCTTTTCATAAAAATTTGGCTTTCTTATTCGTTTGTATTATTTATTTGCGGTTGCCATATTGGATGCCTGATTTTGATTTTTGCTTTTTACATTGCAGATTTGGATTTTGAAACTTTTAAAATATCCTAGAAAGAATTTTTACGGTGACTTTGTCTTATTTTCGATGGTCATATTGGATCCAAAATTTTTATTTTCGAAATTTTGACTTTTCATTCAAATTTAACGTCCCTAAAAATCCGCGAGAACGAGTCATGTGAATCAAAACGACTTTTTAATTGAAAATATTTTTAGCCTTAAATTTTTCTTTCAAACTTAAGGGATTAAATACAAAATAATATATTAACATACGAAAAAAAAAAAATGTAAAAATCAATCGTAAAGCAACAAAAAATGCTTTTATTAAATCTATGATAACAATGGCCATTCATAAATGCTTCAATTCACCGACGTTTTGTATACGAATTGATCGAGTTCTGGCAGTTAGCATGATAAATAATCATATCATCGATAGATGAATAATAATATATATTATGTTGTCCACGTCTGCCAACATACAGGACATCGTCGTAACATATGTATAGACACGAATGTCTTAACGCAAGGAGCGGGTTAACCCCTTTGCGCATGATGTTTTTTCATAAATAAATTAGACAATAAAAAATAAAGAAAGATGCATCTGTACGTAAATAAAAGCAAACTGGACTACATTTATAGCACCACGCAGTAAGGCGTTAATTTGGACAACTAAAGTGAAATACATGTCCATCTTGCACGAACGCACGAATGCGTGCGCAGTCACGTCTCTGCATTCTACACACATTCTTCATAATCACGCAATATCACAAACTTGCAGCAATTGATGGACTTACGGCCTAAATAAAAGTTAACTCTATGCTCGCGTGCCACTTAAGACCCACATTGTAATACGATACAATGATGTCGCGTAAGCACGCAGAACCGAAAGTAAAACAAAACAAAAAGGTATACGACCATTAATTAAATTAGCCTTCGAGAAGGAGGAATACGATCAATTGAAAAATCAATTACGTCTAAGGGAAAAAGAAGAGTAAATCAATGCGGTAAATTGTCGTTCCGTTCCCCATAATTATTTCACGTGCATACTCGTCTTGCGAGAAAAGATATGTCGATCTTATAATACTATGAGAACTTTATCGACATAACCCCCAAAGTAAATAGCTCACGACGAAAATAGTATCCATTATCTGTTCTCTAAATAGAGTGTCGGTTGATTCGTTGGACTCTTGAGATGCTCTGCGGGTCACGTTTAAAATTCATTATGAACCGTCCTTTAAGTAGAGCGTCAGAACGTTTCTATGAACCGATGTAAAGAAGAGGAAAACGGTTAATTTTTTTTGTATTCATGTGAAGCGTCAAGTGAATACGAACTTTAACGTTGTGTGATAATTTATTTACGTACCTTACTTCCCTATGACTGTTATTTGTTCTTTACTTTGCTCTTTCCTTATATTCAACGATAAAATAACACATTTTGTACTTTATCCTATACCGAGGAAAGTATACTGAGGTCTCTAAACGCTTAGCACTATTAGACTTTAGCTATGTAAACGAATATATTCATACAATACTCTGGAAAAGTTGTTATGCCTACAGCGAATAATAAAAACTAAATTTTTCCACTCATTCAAATGGTATTCCTGGACCTGTTATCATTGCACCAATCCTCTGTACACGTTATCAATCAAGAAATTACTCATAAACGCGCGCGCACATGCACGCACGTACGCATGCAACGCAGATGCACGATCGCACACACCTGCAAAATTGTGGAATTGATAATTGAATATACATGCGATTTTTATTTTATAAATCTATAATAAGTAGGAAAAACATTGAAAAATCGATAAGTCATGGGTAGTTAGTTAAGAATGACGTTGTAATAAAATGCTTGCTGTGTAAGACAAATACAATACCTATGTCAACATTCTAATTGTCATATAATTTGTATGCCTGTGGGTACGTTTTTTTTTTCCCATTACGGATAGTCGCGGTCAAAATAATTGTTGTCGGTCCGGACAGGTACTCAATTCTGATTAATAGATATGTACATATGTACAAACTGTAATTGATGGGAGGATTTGACATAGGATACAAAATATCCGTAGACTGCATGGATTTTTATATCACAGAGCAAACTGCTGCGAAGGAGTAAATGCGTTAAGGAGAGTCTAAATGCCGTCCGAAGGATGAAGGAGAAAAAGCAAAGTCTGCTCCGGTGACACCCACCTTGCTAGTGGACCACTCCTCTTCGCGCGTTGACCCAAAATCTTCTCGACTACGGTGACATTGCCGCTTCGCGCCGCCTCCAGCAGCTCCTGATCCTTTCCCATGGTCCATTTACACCTCGAACACTCTCAAAAATTCACCCGTATCACTTTAATTTCTATTTTACTACGATTACTCGTGTTTCATTGATCCAGCGTGGCCATCTTGAGGCCGACTGAACTACCCTCTACCGGCCGCCACTGCAAAGTATACGGAAAGCCGAGCACTCGTATCGCACGGCCGTCAAGTGACAGCTGATACGTTGCCCTCACTTTTCGTTGCAGCATTTGTATACATTCATCATAATAATCGCGAATGTGCGTCAACCGCTGTGAATTTTTAGCAACATGAATCGCGGTCTCGCGCTAAAGTTTTTTTCTTTTTCGTCGGTTCTTTTTGCTTGCCATTCATCGTTGATCACACAAAGTACAGTGTTTAGCGGTAAGGGTTAACCTATAAACTGCATTTAAACAATATATATTTATATATATGAGACTCATAATGATGTAAATTTATTTATCATAAATATTTCCTATGTTTCAATTCCTATATTCTTTCGATTTTATTATTTATCTACTTTTTCCTGTATGGCTTTTTATTTATATATTACTTAGAGTTCTAATTATTCAGTTTATATCTGCATGTGCGAATTAATAAAAAAAAATTGATTGTTCCTCGAGATATCCGCTTTAAATAATTTTAAATAATTATTTTATTTTATAAAAGTATTCTATATTTGAAAATATATTTGAAAGAATTCATTCAACGTTAGAATTCCATTCAAACATTCTGAATACTTGTTTTTCTCAACCAACTGGAATTTGTTTTGTCTATAACGCTGTATTTATCAGTTTATATCAGAATGTGGTGAGTCTTTATAAAGTCTTAATTTATATTACATGCTTAAATCAGGAAACGTAGCAAGTCTGATGCGGAGACTCGACCACAACATACTTACAGGAGCGTACTACTTATAACAGTATACTGTTCTACTGCAATGAAAATAATCTCACGAGTCTTTCATTTCTTAGAGCTCAGGGTTAAAAGTCATATCTTTAATTGTTAAATGTGATCTGTCAGGCATCATACCAATTATTTGACAAACATAAAACTTGATTTAAACAAGTGCACATAACTGATTCTATATTAAATTAGATATTATTGGAACATTTCTCAATAGATTATTGTACATTCTTGTCACTTATTATTCTATGTGACTGCATCTATGTTTTGTAAGAAAAATATTTTAAGTTGTCATTCCTATCATTGGTCTCATTATCTTATTTTTACAATGTAACAAATACTATATTGCAACTAGCGTAATAAATAGTAAATTTTGAATTTTATAAATAATACCTTACTATGTTCCATGCAGTTATACTTTCGCTGATCTATCATATGCTGCGAGAAACTTTCATTACAAGTTTTGAATAACGAGAAGCTATTTTATTTGCGTATTCACTCCACAGTATTGAATTGTATAGCTGTTACTGATTCTAATTTTTATTGACATGTACCGAGCAAATTTTGTAGCCATATAATTTATTCAAATGTTGATTTACACATGATGTTTGATATTAGAATTCATCATGTTTTAGTACAATACTTTGTATAAAAATGTTTTGTATGAATATACAAAGAATGCATTATTCAAAATTGGTTTTGTTATTCCTTACTTATAAGGATTTAAAAAACATGTAAATATACATTCAGATAATAGATTATTAATATTCTATACTACAGAATCTATATACATTTTTATTTTATATATCTGTCAGAATTTCTATAAACAAGGTTAATGTAAATAGTAATCTTCTACAGCAAAATATTATTTAAGTAAACTTCAAGCTAGAATAATTTACATACCAAATCGCTAGCTATTAAAAATTTTTACATTGGCTGATGTATGATCATTTTAATAAGAACACAAGCCCAAGTAGATCAAATCTATACAAACGTAACACAGCCACTGAATAATATCTAACTGTACTATGCACATTAGTAAAATTCTTATAGATACATTTTTATTACTCAATGTGAATACGCATTCCTGAAGAATTTCAAAAAATGTATGAATATCACAATGTTTTTATTAATTTTTACTGATTAATGTTGATAATCATTTTACAGATGACAACAATGTAACGATATCATTGACGGGTTATAATTCATCAGAAAGCAATGACCGGGCATTCACTCAACAAACCACTTTTGCAGCTTCCAGTAACTTAACTATTGATATTATAAATATCCCTCAGACGGTTTCATTTATAATAGCTCAAGTTCACACCTATCAATATAATGTTACATTGTCCTATGATCAAACGTCATTTAATACTTCAAGCAATAGCGTGTTTGGAACGAATCTCGGCCTTGTGGTTGTCATAAACGGAGGATCCGCAGCTCAAGTATTTGTGAGCAATGATAACATCGTCGACGTTGACGCATTACTTGCAGTGGTGGCGTATCCTGTTACAGGTACGTATTTCAATACGTATTAAAAACAATTAAAATACAAAAGAAACACGAACATAAGAATAAAAAAGTAAAATTATTAAATTGTTAACTCATCTCTTATGTGTATTCAAATTAAAAAGTCTTATTATATGTATTATTCATGGGGTACAAAATTTATGTTCATTTTTATGCGTAAATTTACACATAAAAATACGCATTTTACGCAATTTATGCGTATTTCAATAATTATTTTGATATTCCAACTTATTATTTACTTTGAACAAATTATAACAAAATAATACTAGATATTTTCAAATACGATGCATGTTTGTATCTTAAATGATTTGAAAGTAAGATACACGTATGATATGATGAACGAATACAAATGAAAATTTACAATACGTGATTGACAACTTGTCAAGAGCATTAAAAAAATGATTATGTTCATTGAAGTAGAGTTTAAAAATTTCATGATAGTTAAAAATTATTAGTGTCATAAATATATGTCAATTTCCGACCAAAAGAAATCACGGAACTGATAGTCAATAATTATTGTTTATATTATTTGAAATATTTATTTCGCTTTTATAATATTTCTTGATGCATCTAAATTTTACTTCAAACGTTTACCAACTCCACGGTAAGAATAATGATTGTAATATTATTTGTAACAATTGTTAGTATTCTTTAAGCACATTTCTTTGTTTCCATTAAATTTATGAAATAACCGTAAATGCCCGTATTCCCTATGACACGTTAAGAATATTACCAAAACGTATCGACGAATACATATTTCCTGCAACAATTTATTACTATCCCTATAGCACCAATGCCAGGGGGCTGCAACATGGAATTCGGTCTCGAAATTGCTCCGTTCCAAAAATTGGTCGTCAACGAAGCGACAGTAATCGTTGACGCACAACCGGCTGCTGCACCGATGACGCAAGAGATTTCAAACTCCTGCGAACAACATCCTGTCCATCATGAATCCTATCGCCTGTATCTGCCCGAACAAGATTTTACCACTGAAACATACTTTTTAGCAATAAAAAATATGTTAACGGTTCAAGATGTTGTGCGCAATGCGAAACAGGTACTGTATTTCATCTTGATTTTTATTCAATTCAAACATTAAATGCAAAAAATTAAGCTTAACCCTTTTAGTGCCAACCGAAGGAATTGTACTTAAGCGAACAAAAACCAAACCAATTTGATGTAATTTAGAATTGAGAGAAAAATCATAAGAAAAAAAAGTAAGAATGATATTTACAAAATTGAAAAAGAGGAACATATTACGAAATAAAGGGAGAGTCCCTTTTTATAAATTTATTTTTATCAACAGTTCTCTCGCGATGCGAATAGCAAAGTCCCATCGCATGCGCAACGATATATCGGCACTAAAAGGGTTAAAAATATTGTTAAAATTGAAGAGGTCTGTTCAATTTCTAAAGTGACAACTGTCGATTAAATTGATATAATAAATAAATCTAATTTTCCTAAAAACCGTTTTTGTTATTTGAAAAAAGAAAGAAAAACTGTAAGGATTTGACATAAAGGCAATTGCTGTTAACTTAAATTAACATATTTGTTTTTTACTATATGTTATACATATATTCGTTTATCATTAGGTTCCAGTGCTAGCAAATACATCCCCCATGAGGCGCATATACAGCGCTTACCCTGGTACCGGAGCCTCGTACGTCGTCATCGCAACGTATGGAAACTACTCTGCTGCATACGTGCCAATTTTTACGTACGCATGCAGTCCTCTCTTTTGGAAGGACACGTGTCAGGTGTTAAGTACGAACGAATACATGAGTATTTAAAAATTTTAATAAAAAGAACCATGAATTACTCTCTTCTTTCTTTTAGCAACCACTCTGTCGAAGTTCCTCTGTGCTGCAACATTGTTCCTCGGAATCTTCATTGCGTTTTTAGGCCACAAATTCGTTAAGACTGAAATATTCCTATTGGGATGTCTATCAGGATGGATGATTAGCTACATAATACTTGTCATATGTGAAGTTTTTAGTCCAACAGGTAAGCTTCATTGTCTGCCGCTTTAGCCGTTTAATCACATAATATCAGTTTAAGAAAAAAAAAAAAAAAAAAAAAGAATTTTACGTAACGGAAATTACACTGGACCATCTTCATTGCGTTGCCATTGTCACGTTGGTAAATCCATGGCTACGGTGATCGTAAAGTGAATAAACTTTTATTAATAACGAACGTAATCCAACGCGTTCAAGCAATTCCTGGTCATAAATATAAATAAAAACAAAGGTATGGAAACTGTTGGAAAAAGAAGCATAGAAAGAACACTCTGTAAGGATTTTATTGAAATATTAAATTGTCACTGTTAATGTTCAAGGCAACATCAACATAGCTCTGGCTGTTGGAATCATTACCGGGATCGTCTGGCTCAAACTATGGTTGTCTTATGGAATTCCACTGCTCTTAATCCTCCTCGCCGCGATAACTGTGGGGTCTTTCTTCGCTTGCATCGTATATTTCAGCGTGCCAGGTACAGAACTACATGTACATACAAGTGCGTACAGTCCTGGCCGAATGGATGCGCAATGGAGGCTGTTAAAAATTATAGGAAAATAATGAAAGCCAGCTTAAAGCAAGGGATGAGAGCTCCCCCGAAGTTAGTCCGAGTTTGGCGAAGGGATGAAGCACAGCCAGTCCCCCATAGCTTCTATCAATGTTATCCACTCATGTGGAAACTTCGCTTGCCGAATCCCCCGATGCTGCAGAAGCGACGGGCATTCGTGCCTCCCGCCTTTCTCACCGTAACACGCTGCCAACCCCCGATATCTCTCTCTCTCACACACACACACATATATACATACTCACCAAGAGAGAGAGAGAGAGAGAGAGAGACGCACGCGCGAGTACACGTACACACACTCCATTTCTCACTCTATCAGCCTCTCCCTTCTTGAAATTTCCCTCAGTTCCTCTTCATCCAAAGTATCCCTAGTCCCAGTTCCAGCTCCGACCCCGACTGCCACCATCTCCCAATTTCATTCCGTTCCGTTTCGTTCTATTCCATCTCTCTCCTTCTCTCTACGCCTGTTCTTGCCCCTGCCAACCTCTCCTGCTTCCTGTCCCATACCGTCTCGTAGCTCCCCAACCGTACACGCGCTCCCACCAAATGCCGTAACCAGCTTGGAAGATTCACATTTACCTAATTGTGTCCCCATATTTATTTAGCGGAGAACGTATTTAGATTACACGCTCGGTACATCCGTAACTGCATAAAGTATCCCGCGGGATGTAACAGGGGTGCATTGGCTGCCATTGTTACCCAACTACTCACGGTCATCCTACAATTCATTCGCGTGCCACATCTTGTCCATTGAATTGTGGCCAGAAGCGAATCCTATTTTTGTAGTTTTCTGACAAAGCCTTCTGTAAACGTCACGTCACGTTTCAATGCATTATCTTGCTGGCAATTTCATTTTTACATATTGATCATTTATATATCCAATTCACTGTTGTCACTTTCCTTCATCGAGCTGCAATTAAAAGCAAGGTAAATATACGGTACCAGGTCGATTGGCGACATCGCGATAATAACAGATTCTCATTCTAGATAACTATCCGTCTAATTTGCAGCTTCCCACGCGTCAATCGTATCTCGCAACATCAATTCATGTGTATTAAGTCGGGGTCCTGAAGGAGGCACGATCAGTGACAAGAAAGTCACATGCAGCTCAATTACTTCCAAATGCTATCGCGCTGATGTATCTCTTTTTCGAAATCGATCCTCAGCACCCTTCACCTACACATAGATGATACTGGAAGCTACGGATGCAATGAAGTCGACGGTAGGCAGGGATGACGTTGAAGGACGCTAATCCAGCTGATCGAACTTTTTTTCTTTCAGATGGTCTTGCACTCCTCGAAAACGATCTCAACTTTTGGCTAATCTTTTTCTTGGTGATCCTGACGACGGTGCTCGTTCTCTGCGTTTTATCATACAGGGCCAATATTATATGCTGCGCTGTACTTGGTTCCTATGCTGTGATACTACCGATCGACTATTACATTGGCTCGAATCTCAAATACATCGTCATCAATGCTATCAGAAGAGCAACTGTCACTGGATTCAATCTGGCCATTATACATCCACCTTTTCAAATAAAAGGTACAGGTTTTACGGAGAAATTTTACTTCTCTCAAAGAGGCATTGCCTATATGGAAGCAATTCCATTCGTTGAGCAATCATAAGAACGTTTATACAATTTTGCAGATATTATCCTGACATGTGTTTGGATAATCATCAAGATATTTGGCACGAAGGTACAGCTCAGGCAGAATAAAGGGAGGCCTCCGTTCCCACCGGCTGCCTCAAACTCTACCTCTAGAAGACGACGTCATACGGAAAGAACGCCGCTGCTAGTTTCCTCTACGGTCCCTATTTTCATTTTGGGAAATGAAAGTGACGATGTCTTTTATTCACCTAACCACAGCTGGTTTAATTCAATTTTAAAACCGTGCTGGCCTCGTTCGAGGAACGTCTAAAATATCCTGATTCGTTGAAAGTACTTTTTATGTTGCAAACATTTCTGAAATACAGCTGTGGTAACTGTAGTGGCGACGTGTTGTCGAGTTGTCATTGATCAGGCGATCGATTAAATATAAAAATAAAATGCTATTTTTTACCACCTGATGTTAAACTATTTGTTCATAATTTTAAAAAGAAGCAGTGCCCGTGATAATAATATCTTTAGGAAGTATTTGTATGTTTTGCTATGTATCTTATCGTCATTTGATGTATATCATAATAAACGTCATTATTTAATGGAGTAGAAACCTGACGTTGTGCATTCCCTTCCCTTTGAAATATTAATGTTAACTCGGTGTCTTTTTTCGGTATGCACGTCCAAGTGTATAGGAGCAAGAAATTGTGCATAGAGATACGTAAATGTATTTTCCATAATTTCATTTAAACAGTACTGGGAAGTTTTGTACAAAGGTAAATAATCGTCTGTAGTTAAGAGATCTTCGTTAAAATCAAATAACATTTATTGAATCGAGACAGTGACACCTAACAATGGTTCTATTATCTACTACTTACAATCTTAGAGGTAATCACAGCAACAATATTATCTCATTATTCACAACACTTACATAGATTACTGCCGCAATATTATATTATTCTCGTTAATAACTTTGTTTATACTCGTACAATGTATCTGTTATTATTAATATTATCGAATAATAAGGAAATATTATACCACTTCTGCGCCAAGTTCATAGAAACAAATTTTATCATGATTACGAATATCTCGGATACTTCGCTATATTCGAATTATTCCTTTTTACAGGAAAATAATAAACGCTTTTTGAAATTTTCCAATCACCGTCTCCACAACAACTCCATATGCATATAGTTTCTTTCCGCCGAGTATATGGAACGAATGCACATTTTAAAAAATCTATATTGGTCGAATCCCATATAACGTAACGCCGTTTACGCGACTGATGAACTCTCCTTGTTGTCATCGTCAATCCGTACAATACGTGAGATACGAAATATCGAATACCATAAATTTTTAACTCCAAATTTAAAGACATGATCGAATAGTTTTCGCTAAATGTACAAGGAATCTTACTTTTTAATAATTTTTATGTGTTACATGTACATGATCATGTATTTACATATATAAATTTATAGATTTATTTGCGTCTTAAATATTACATTCGCGCACGATTTAAACGTCGTTGTATTGATTTTCCTAGAACGCGGAAAAGTGTACTGTCAATTTTAAACGTGCAAAGCTCATCCCGAGCACCGTACACAATATTTGAAGGCATCTCTTGTTGTACGTAACGAGAGAACTATCGACATTTTGATAAAGTTCAAGTGAAATTTGGTGTCTTACGTTACAAAAAGAGTAAAATTAAGTGGTAGGAATTCCAAATAAAACCAAATGAAAATAATAGTCAGCCGACACAAGTAATATTTGACTTCGGAGTGATAAAATTGACGAACCTGAACAACGCAAGTAAATTCAATTACTTTTCCCATAATGTATACGACATTAAAAGTTTGGTCGATCGTCATTATTTAGAAGGTCCGAGACGCGGAAGTGGTATAAAAAGAATAAATCAAGTACTTCGTGTTCTCAATTCGAATTCTCGACGAATTGATACTTAAAATTGGAAGCGAAACTACTCGCGTCAAATGGAAGTCTTCCGAGATAGTATTTCACATTTTATTCGTTTATTTTCCAAAAATATAAATTTAAAACTAATATACATTATTCTTCGTTAGGTGTATCATATAAACTTCTAACAAATTACACTGGTTAAACAGACCGTAGGCGATATTTAAGATGAGATGCCGCGCTGCGGATTGGGTTTCTTTTTTTGCGCGTGGTTACGTCCGTCGAGGTTAGCTTTTATTTATTATTCACGGTAAACTACTGTTCTATCTGCTTGAGAGACCATCGCTACGGAAAAAAAAAAAGAAAAAATTGCGCAAGAGGCTATTCGAACGATCGAGAAGAATCTTCTCCAATTTTCACGAAATGCTCAGAAACGAAAGATCAAAGCGATTAATCGTTTCAATTTTCGGACTGATCATTGGACATTTTAATTTCATAGGTTCTTACTCGGGAACTAGTATATATGTCTGTTAAATAAATCATTGTTAAGTTCGATACAAGGAAACACGATCAACGATTGCGATCCGGTCGACAGAAATGTATTGAGTGATTAACATATAAAGATAAAGAAAAATTGTATCGATTCTGTATTACTGGATCCATCTATGTAATATACATAAACATATGAGTTATTCAGTCGAAATGCACCAACTGAAGTTAGCGCGTCCATTTGATTCTCACAGTAAAACCACCTTCAGGTTGTACGTTTGGGCTGAATAACGAGGTATTTACTGAATTCGCCAAAATAAAACGTGTTCACGTGTGCTCGATGGATATATTGGATATTGTTTTATGAAAAAATTTCATTAAAATTCTGCCAAGGAATCAAAAGTCACGAACAAAGATAACATTAGATCTGAATCGAATTATTCAAATGAAAAGTCGCCCACGAGGTTATCAGCGAGATCGTTCGGGAACCTTCGTGAGTTTCCGCCTCTCTTCGTGTTCCATGAGACCCAATAGAGAATCTTGTCGAACACCTCGCTCGGGTCCCATCGATCAGACGAAATCTTATTTTTCATCTGTCCCGTTCGAAAAGCTGCGCGCTTCGCTGATACCGATCGAAAGCAAAAATTTAATGGTCAAATATGTCAATGAGGAGAGACGGGTTGAAACTTAAGTAAATGTAGGCTCGCTATTATGATTATTATTATTAATATTTATTTCTTTAATAACTCAAACGATATTTTGGACTCGTGAGTGACTAACGGGTTCTGCCATTTTCAAAGGGAATACACTGACGGTCGATCGTGGTATGAAGATTACGTACGGTTAAGGCTTGTGGGGGCTGGAAGGTGGGATGCGCGTCTGAACGCTACTGTTAATCTTTACTTATATACAGTGGCAATATTTCTAAATGTACATTATAAACTAACGAGAGTAACAAATCCTATTTAACATTACCCTTTATACAGAAATCATAAGAGAATCTCTCTTAATTGTCAAAACGGCCGCGGGATATAGGGTTGCTGAATAACCTCGTTATCCTACCTGCACGACAGAGTTATTTTACAAAATAAACCGAAATATGAAGGGGAAACATTTCTCTTTAAATCAGTATAAATTCTATGATAACCCAACCCAACCTAACTCCTCCCAATGTCGCTAGAAAACTTATTTCAAATTTTTAACAGAATCATGACGAACTTGTTATCGCATCGTACCAGTACCATCGGCAGTAGTGTACCTTTGGAGAAGGAATAAGCTCGGTTAAAAATGGAAATACACAATATTTTTTGAGAATCTTAGTAGAGATTATGAAAGTCCAGGACACTTCGAAAAGCTAGCAATGCTTGTATCGTCCTAGTGCTGAGAGCTAGACAGGTTCTGAAATTACGAGAAAGAATGTATACCAAAAAATTTATACTGAAAATTGATCAATTTTTTGTAATGGAGTATATAAGTTGAGCTTAATTTGAGTTTATGAATTTCTGTTTGATTTTTCATTTAGAGGTACAGCCATGGATAGAGCTTTGGAATTTTATGAGATTAATATTTAAAAAAACAGTTCAGTATTCAATATCGGAGCAACCTGTGCGAATCTGGTTACCAGTTAATCGGCTTGCGTACTGATACGAAATGGCGTAAAAACAATGATACTTGACGAAATCGTGCTGGACGCGATGACAAAATTGACAAAATACGACGCAACCATGCGGGAAATACGTGCCCGGTTATCAGTGTAATTTTGAATTAAACGATAAAACAACTCGGTCTCCGATTAGAAAATAAACGTCAGAAAGTCATTAACGTGGATCCCCACGATAAACGAATTATCATAAATGGCACATAACCCTGTCTCGGATTGACGTTCGTTCATCAAAGCAAAAACCAGAATAGGTTCCGTACACGAAGGAGCGCAGCTCCATTTCCTACGTATTGCTGTTGCGCACGACTAAGTGGAATCTCGTGGCTTTTAATTATTTTCAAAAAAAATAATCCATCGAAAATGACTAAAAATTGTACTAAAGGATTATAATACATGTATACGGAAAATGAATATGACGTGTCGCATGTCATATATCACGGCTGAACGCAATAAAGACACACGTGTCTCCCTTGCAAATACGATAGAGGCGCATAAAGTGAAGAGTAACGACTAAGGTGTAAAAAGCAAAGAAGAAAGAAAGAATGGTGATAATATAAAACGTGAATCCACGTGACAAAGTTTTCACGGACACGAGCAGCCCCGGCAGTCACTTACGAGCGAGCAATTATTCGCTTTCGTGTCTTTGGCATGGCATTGCGAGTGAAAGCACCGAAGGCTGAATAGTGAGCAATAGATAGATATAGCGGCCCCCTCGTATTTCTCGACGCCATATCTCCGGATAAACGCGATGGCCGCCGGAAGAATCCACCCTCGGCAAACGCTATCAGTCCCCACGCTCCTGAATGAGAACGTTCCCCTCCCCCTCTATTCGAGAGTCCCCGCGCTCCTCCCGATCCAGGGTGCATCTTCGCCGAGTGCGAGAGAGAGAACGTTCAACCGCCGAACGCTCTTTCTCCCAGATTTCGCTTAATCGCTCAGCAATTATCGGATACGAATGCGCCAATCGCTCCCAATCGAGATTAACCGTCTACGGTTCGACATTCACCAACCAATTTCGATTGTCCTTCGGAGCGTTCGTTAAATCGACTGTCCATGTTATATTTATACATTTGACTGAAGAGTAGAAAAGGGACGACGCAACGGCGAAGAAGCTGGCTCCGAGAGAATGGCGAAGGGAGATCAGGAAAATTTCTATGTTCCTTTCTCCACGTATCTCCCTTCTCTCGTATCTCGCTTAGCGTCGGAGACAGTGATCCGTGTGTCTCGAGTAGGCGATAATAAGTAACTGCGGCTGAGAAGGTCTGGTGGTTTGCTGGACTTGGGTAGACTGGTAAGGTTAGGTAAATAGGTAAAATGGGTATACCCTGCATGACCCGGGTTCGACGAAATGCATCTATAATATTATAAGATAAGTAATAACAGTAAGATAGCTAAGTAAAATAGGTTCCGAACGGTATTGAAGAGGGGGGTGG